AAACAAAGTTAAATGTATATATGTTTGTAATTATTGTTATTTTTCTCTGAATAAAAGATGACTAAATGAAAGTTCAATTGCTACCTGTTATTTTCTTTATAAATTAAATTCTAAAAACGCAGAATTTAATGTTTAAAAGAAATCAGTCAATTAGCTATCAGATATGAAAATCTAAAATAGACTTTAAATAGTCACTGACACCTTTATGCCTGAATTACTTCTGTATTAAAGAATTAGAAAACAGTGAACAAAAAACTACTAATCTAGAGAAATGTTAGTATATCTTATTATTACATTGAAACATTGAAATCTCGGCCTGCTCTTTAGAAAGTGGTGCAAATATATCATCACAGCGTAAATGTTAGAGTGCATCTTTACTGTTCACAGATCAGTTTTGATTCAACAGACTGATGCCACTCAATAACAGTCTTTTTTGTCACCTTTTAATACTTTAATCAAATTGTGTAAACTCTTTTTATGCAGCCAAGCTTTGCTCAAACACACACAACTTAATTTTCACTTTTGGAGGAAATTATAAAGTTTCCAAAGACACCAAAGACTCTTGAGAAAATTAAGTTTAAGTTAATTAATTTATTTAGAATACATCTGTTTGTTGTAATGGCACAGCTAAAAACTAAAAATCAGGATGTCTTAATGTAAAGTATTCCTCTCAGCGTGAACATTAAAGTTAATTACAGCACACATACTGTAACATAATGTGGGGAAAAGGTAATTTTTCTGAATTTAAAGAAGGTTTCAAAGTTAAATTTAAGGTGAAAATCACAAGTTAGAGGAGCTGAATGTTTGATGTCTTGTGTGAAAATCAATAGATGTTAAATTTTAATAAATGTGTAGTCAAAAAATATTGATTCATTGATGCATATTGACTCTGAATATTTAAAAGGGTTGTATTTTCTGCAGTATTGACACACTGGGACCAGCTGCTCTTTCTCGCTCCCTCTCATTGGTTATGTTCACTGCAGTCATTCTGCTGTTCTCTGCTGCTAACCAAGAAATTTTATAGCCTTGTTATATTTATTTTGTAATTACAAAACTAAAATTTGTGCCCTTAATGTTAGTTCCAGTGGTATCACAAATGGTATCGCATATCGCTAATTCTAAAGGTATTGTATTGAAGGTAGAAATTCCACTATTGAATGAAGTTGTAAATAAAAAGCCACAACATAAAATGCTAAATAGTTTTTATAGCCTATTTTAATAAAACATGAAGCTATACAGAAGCTGACCGCCACCCATACCTCAACATTTACCCTCAGGATCACTGTGATGTCCTTTGCAAAATCTTTTTCATGTTTTAAAATGTAATGAAATTAAAGTCAGTGACATCCTCAAACAGCCTCCTCTTCCTCCTCCATGTTTATATCATTATCAAAGGTGTGATCTGATTACTGTATTATATTTCTGCAGAATGACACGTGGGTGAAAGTCTTTAAACAACAGCACAGAGAAAACTGGTACTTTTCACACCTCTGCAGCACAGGTACGCTCTCCCTGTGAGAAGACAGCTCTTATATCACAGTGCAGTATATTGTCCCAAGGAGAGGAAGGAGGGGTCATAGAGTAAGAGGAGGTATGTATGTGTGTGTGTGTGTGTGTGTGTGTGTGTGTGTGTTTTTCAGGAGAAGTTTTACGAGTCCTAACCAGAAGGCAAGAGTTGTTTGCAGACCAAATATTACCAGCAGGGCTGTGATGTATTTCACTGCGTTTCCTACAGTTTTTCTCACAACAATTTGGTTTCTGAAGAGATTAAATTTAGATACAAAGCTTCAGGACAAATTTCCTGCCTTTCTCCACACACATAAGAAGCAGTTAGTCTGGTGTCGAGCTGCTCATTCAGCTTTTTTAAATTCAAGTGTGCTGCAGCTTAATGCCCCCAAACAACAGGAGATGTAGCACAAAATAAAAGATCTGGCTAAGTTTATATAAAGAACACTGCATCAAATTAAAGATGGAGAACTCTACATACACAAATTGTGGCAAAACATGGTGGAGAGGTGATTTAAAAAAAGGATTAAAAAGCAGCTAGGAGGTATGAAAGCTGAGGATTTATATAAGTGAGAAAATAAATCATGACAAATGAAATAAAATGAGGAAGAAAATGAAGGAAAACAATAACAATAAATCCAGGTGACAAGCAGACAATGACAAGGGAAATGCAAATAAACTGAAATAGCCCTGATACAGGAAATGAAATCATCAAGGAAGCGCGCGCATGTGTGTGTGTGTGTGTGTGTGTGTGTGTGTGTTTGCAAGGGGGAGGTGCTAATAAATGCAGTGGGTGGCTCCTAATTTTGGCCTGTAATGTTTAATTTAATAGAATAAAAGATTCTCACAGAGACATATGAATCATGTCAAGTTGCTCAAACAGTTTAGCTTAAAAGTGATTTAATTTTTCTTTATTTTTCTCATTTTAATAAACAGTAACATTATGTTTCTTTTCTGTTTCCCCTCCCTTGAGTTTAAGACCACGTTCAAGCTGTTTTCTGACATCAGCAGAGGCTTCATCATGATGTCTGCTATGCCAATATCAGTATCAAATATGAGGCTGATATATTTGTGTAGTGTTTCTGCGGAGTGAAATGTGGGGCAGATGTTTCTCTGTACAGGAGCACAGCAGGAAAACAGTGATACTCTGCACACTTCAACCCTGCAAGAACACAGAATCATTTCCTCTTAGACACGATCACATGTGAGCACTGATATCACACAGTAAAGAGGAGGAGGAGTGTGTGTGAGTGTGTGTGAGACAGACAACAAATTCCTCTCAGCTCTCTTGATAAAGGTTCGCCTCTCGTGGGAGCAGGGTTGTCCAAGCCATGGAGAGAACAAGAGGGAGATACAGAGTGTGTGTACTGTAGTACTGCACAGGTGTGTGTTTCTACTATGACAAAGCAAAATAAGATCTTTCCTTTTTTTAGAGGATGTCCAAAAACATGCAGTTTAACCTGCCTGTGGGTGAGCTGATGTATTTACTGCTGAGATTGTAGATCATGCATTTTACTGTATTTTATTGTGAAGGCAATGATTCATGTTTCCGGGAACAAAAGAGGTGGATCAGTATTTTGTCAGATAAAACAGTTTTAACTTGTCTGCAGTATTCTGCCAGCACACACTCACACACACATACACACAGATCGATCTGTCCTGAGTCTGTAGCAGAGGTGATTCACTGCCATCCAGTGGACAGCAGATGTAGTACAAAAGGAAAACCCAACAGGGACAGTTCACCTTCAAATTAAACACACACATTTCCTCTTACCTGTAGTGCTATTATCAGTCTAGACTGTTTTGGTGTGAGTTGCAGAGTGTTGGAGATATCGGCCATAGAGGTGTCTGCCTTCTCTTTAATATAATAGAACATGATGGCACTCAGCTTGTGGTTCCCCATGCAAAAGGAAACACGCATCTACTCATGGATTCTCAGCTGAGCTCTGACGTTAGCTTGCTCAGTGGTGCTAGATGAGTAGATGCACCCTTCTGTCTGCACGGTGAGACAGTTGGCGTGTGTAGTTCAGTCGAAAGATAATAGTTCCTGCATGAAACTGCTCACAACAACGTCTGTGGATTATCTTCAGTAACCGGGTCATGATTTCTGGAAAGAGACATTATTGTTGAGTTTTTCAAATGTGTATTTTGAGCACCACAAGCTGAGTGCCATCTAGTTCCATTATATTTGAGGGAAGGCAGACATCTCTACGGCTGATATCTGCAACACTCTGCAACTCACACCAAAACAATCTAGACTGATAAATATCACTACAGGTAAGAGGAAAAATATGTAATTTTGATTTGGGGGTGAACTGTCCCTTTAAAGGGTCAGATTACAAAGATTATAAAAACAAAACAAACAAAAACATATTGCTTTATTTATTTGGTTGTAACTTGCTGTACATGAAGTTCTGGCTGTGTTTGCCCACGTATTACATCATCTGTCCTTGAGATGTCTGCCTCCAGCTTATTAAAAAATAGAGAAATACATTTTTGCTGTGCTGAAAAATTACATTTGAAAAACTCAACAACAGTGTGTCTTTTCAGAAACAGTATCCTGGTTACTCAAGATAATACACAGACTTCACTGTGAACAGTTTCTACAAAATAAATAATCCCTATGAAACTGTTTATGTGAATCTCAGGAGACCTCAATGCATTTAGGCATGTAGACATGGTCAAGGCGACCTTCTGAAGTTCAAACCGAGCATCAGAATGGGGAAGAAAGGTGATTTAAGTGACTTTGAACGTGGCATGGTTGTTGGTGTCAGACGGGCTGGTCTGAATATTTCAGAAACTGCTGATCTACTGGGATTTTCACACACAACCATCTCTAGGGTTTACAGTGGATGGTCCGAAAAAGAGAGCTGATAGATGATAGAAAGGCAACAGTAACTCAAATAACCACTTGTTACAACCAAGGTCTGCAGAAGACCATCTCTGAACCAACAACACGTCAAACCTTGAAGCAGATGGGCTACAGCAGCAGAAGACCACACCAGGTGCCACTCCTGTCAGCTAACAACAGGAAGCTGAGGCTACAGTTCACACAGGCTCACCAAAACTGGACAATAGAAGATTGGAAAAACGTTGCCTGGTCTGATGAGTCTGGATTTCTGCTGCCACATTCAGATGGTAGGGTCAGAATTTGGTGCAAACAACATGAAAGCATGGATCCATCCTGCCTTGTATCAACGGTTCAGGCTGGTGGTGGTGATGTAATGGTGTGGAGGATATCCCCTTAGTACCAACTGAGCATGGTTTAAACACCACAGCCTACCTGAGTATTGTTGCTGACCGTGCTATCATGTCAATATGGACCAACATTTCTGAGGAATGTTTCCAGCACCTTGTTGAATCTGTGCCACCAAGAATTAAGTCCTGAAGGCAAAAGGGGTCCAACCTGGTACTAGCAAGGTGTACCTAATAAAGTCTCCAGTGAGTGTATGTATAGCTGAAGTTGTTGTACTTCAATGAAAACAATGCAAACAAATAATACGAATGATTTATTGAAATGAGACAAACAACACGCAAATAAAGTCACTTTTTAAAAACCATTAGACAAACCTCAGATTGAAAGTGCACATGCACCACACCATACAACAACACATTAACACTCATATATACAGTAACCCTGAGTCTGCTTTGCATTTGAATCCTAAAATCACATTGCAAGGCATAGCACTTTGTGTCCACTAGGTGGAGCAATAAGTTAGTTTCTCTCTATTAGAGGCGCTTCACACAGCTGGAACAAACACTTTAAACAAGCACAGGTGCACACAGTCACCTTTATCAGTGTCCGTGACACAACGAAGCACATGAGAAGATTCTTCTGAAGCATCCTGGTCAGCTGTCTTCAGCACTGTGAGTAAGGTAAATGTTAATGAGCTACTGGCAGTATTGATCAAATTTTAATACTGCATGATAATGATAATTTGATAATTACCTTAGTTCATGCTCATCTTCACCATATTGTTGGTGACAGTGACCTCTGCTGAAGCAAAGTCATTTGAGGGTTGACTCACTGCTTCATGGGGCATCTGAAAGAGTTTAGGAGTGAGATAAAGAGTGAGCATCATGATAAACTATAAAGGAACAGATGTATTGTCTGTGCAGGTGTGTGTATGGCTGACCAGGACTGGGGGAGCCATGAAGAGATAATTGAAGGGGTAGTGCAGCAGGTTGAGGCAGGTGGAGGAGTACAGATCTGCATATCGCATCAGCTGACTGGCAAACAGCGTCTGTCTGGCACCACTGCGCAGGAGGCTGCCCATCTGGCCGTAGGACATGTCCATTCTGTAGGTCAGCACCTGCAAACACAAACAACAAATCACACCAGCTGAAAAAAACTGCACAGAGTGTCATAAAACATCTGAAACACAACAGCTTATAGTATCAGACATCCTGTTTTTGCAACAATGCATTCTTTAAGTTTTTGTCATTATTATTCCAGTGCCGAGTCACCAGAAGAAAATGTTGGCATTGTACATGTATGCAAACCATGAATATGTTACATTTGCACGTTGGATGTGTATCATATCAATGTTTCTAAAGTGATGTTGTATACGAGCTGACTTTAGCATTGGAAGGTGGAGATAGTGGATGGTGTGACCTATGTGAGATGGCTGCCAAACTGCAGACCACTGTCCAAGACCAACAAACAATGGCTTTTGGGTACCAAACGTTTTGTAGCAAACTGTTGCTGTAAGAGCCACTTAAGCACATATTTACATTTGGTAAAATGTCTGTGCTGATATAACACATCATATAAGTTATGAAGATACTTCAGTTTATACAACATCCATCCATCCATTTTTATCCACTTATTCATGACCTGGTCACGGGGGCAGCAGGCCAACCAAGCACCCCAGACGTCCCTCTCCCCAGGAACACTTTCCAGCTCCTCCTGGGGGACCCTGTGGTGTTCCCATGCCAGATGAGATATATAATCCCTCCAGCGTGTTCTGGGTCTGCCCCGGGACCTCCTGCCAGTGGGATGTGCCTGGAACACCTCCAGCGGGAGGCGCCCAGGACGCATCCTGATCAGATGACGAACCACCTCAACTGACCCCTTTCGAGCTCCCTCCGGATATCCGAGCTCCTCACCCTATCCCTAAGGCTGAGTTCAGCCACCCCACGGAGGAACCTCATAGGGAATAGCAGTGGACTGTGCAAAGGTTATGTTTATATTTACTTTATTTATGTGTTAGAATACGGGCACAAGTTATTTACACCAGGTGTGGTGCCCTAAGGCAGTTTGGTGCACACAACAAAAAGTGATTGTGGACAATGTCATGTGTAAAAGACGACATGACGCTTGTGTTGACTTGGACCATATTAAGTTTTTGACTGTGTTGTGCCATGTTAAAGTGTATAATAACGGGTAATATGTGAGAATATATAGAAATAGGACATTGAGTCGGTAGTGGACTGTATGAGATGTAGTTTTGGAAGGACTTGGCCTGCCATTTTGTTTCTCTTCTGTATTCAGTAAAACTCGTTCAGCTTTTTCCCTGCCTCATGAGTACTGTGGATCTTCAGAAAAGGAACAGGAACACGAGTCAAACTGATACACCTCACAGATTAAGTGGCCTGCAAACTTTGGTATGTTGAAACAGCCACTATAGTTGTTATGTTTTTAGCGATTATTCAGGCTCCTAATGTGGGTTTGTTTGTTTGTTTGTTGTTACCTTAACTTAACCGTACTTGGACCACAGCGTTGTTGAAACATAAAGTTTAAATGCAACTTCTACATAAGAACGTGCAAATGTAATGCCAAGGTTTTTTCTAGCAATTTATTTGTGAGAAGCCTTCAAGCGATGCACAGTGTGCAGGATTTTTGGCTTTTGATGCTACACAGCTCTCACTACCACTGAGAACTTTGAAATCGCCATCTGGTATAGTGTAGACATTTGGCATCATACCAGAGTTCCCAGAGCAAAAACTGTCCCACAATTTCATGTGTTGTTAATGATCTAATTTACTGCTAAACAAAATTCACTTTGTACTAATGCTTGGCTATTTCCAATGACAGTAAAGCTGTGTGTTAAATGACGAAAACATCTTAACAACCTTTAATGTAGTTAAAACAGCAGCGTCTTTAGCAACATATCTTGAACCAGTATATAACTACCTAAAATAAAACTTGAAGAATGGAAATATTCAGTTGTGTTTTTAAACGTGGAGCTCACCTTCATTCTCGACTGAACGGCACAGATTTCAGGACACTCCTGACTGTCACTGTCCAGGTGCCTTCAGGTGACCAACACAGAAAACAATTAACAGCTTTGATAATCATTAATACTTGATACACATGATTTGATTGTTGCATGCACATGTACTACAACAGATACAGGTTTACAAATGGTATAAATGATAGATCATAGATTATAATATATTCATCAATTTCCACATGAACTCATAATGAATTCATCATCTATTAGCTGTGTATAAACATTCAGTAAGTGTTAATTATGTAACTGAAGAGCTCACTTGTAAAGTTCAGCTAAGAAGATGTCGAGACGTTTCAGCTCCTCAAACATACCTGCAAAACCAAGAAAGTCATCAAGACTTTGAAACGGTCACAATAAAACAACAATAAGCAAAATGTTGTCTACAAGTTCTTACTCTTCTTCTTCTCCCACAACTGCACCTCCTTAGTGAGCTCTGGTACGACCAGGAAAGTCTTCCAGCCCTGACGCTTCTTGGATTTGAGGATGTCTCCAAAGATGTGGTCGCCAACATAGAGAATGTCTTTACCTTTGACCTCCAGCAGATCACTGACGATGTCCGAAGATCCTGCAAACAGAATATTTAGTTAAACTATTACATAAGATAATACAAAAGCAGGATTAAATCATAACTGTATTCACATCATAAGCACATATAAAGAAATATACATACAGGAGCAAATGACTGAATACCTAACTATGAAATAATCACTACTGAACACTTAATATTAAACCACTAGAGGTGTAGCTTTGAGATTTTTGAATTTTACTCTTTGAGATTTCCAGAAGGTCATTTCAAATTGTGTACCTTTAAAAAAACACAAGTATTTGTTTTTAAGGTTTCACAAATTCAGACAAAAAATGAGAAAGTGTCTAGAATGTAGAGAAAATAGATTAAAAAAATTGTTCATATTAATTTGGTAATTTTTGGATCTAAATATTCTCATGAGGCCAAAAATAAATGAATAAATTCTAATTATTATTATTATTATTATCATTATTATTATTATTAATGTAATAGTTGTATTGGTTAGAAAATTTTAAACTCCCACATGTGAGCTGCTGAGGAGCACCCAGACCCCAGATAAACAGATAGAAACACTCAAATAGAGACACTAAAATTTTATATCCAATTTGTGAGATTTTTTTTTATTTTTTAAAAAGTCATTATTTTAAATAATACAAAAAATGATAATAAACTTTGTCTTTGTAGTACTGCATTGAATAAAATAGTAATAATTACCAAAAGTTACCCAAAACACAACACAATAAGATAAAACAGAAAAAAATAAACAAACTAGAATTACTGCCTCACAGTTGTATGACTCCACAAAGCAGTCAAGCTGCAGTTACAGTTTACACCTGTCATTGCTTTAAATATGTATGTTCCTGCAAAGAAGCTACAAATTCTTTAACATGATGCTTCACACATGTCTTCCCCCGGCAGCACAAAAGATCTGTACAGTCAGCACAGTTTGAAGGTGGACACCCAAGATTAGAGTCACCCATCCACTATCTGACCAAATGTCTTCTCTGTTCCTGAGATATGACGTTGAATAATGGCTAGAAAAGTGTTTTTGCAGAACATTATGATGTCACAGTGACACCGACCTTTAACCTTTTAGATACAAAATGTCATCACTTCATCATTTTATCCTATTAGATAGTTATGTGTGTGTGAATTCTAGAGTTAGGGCCAAAAACATGTTTTGTGAGGTCACAGTGACTTTTGACCACCAAAATCTAACCAGTTCATTGTTGAGTCGAAGTGGACATTTGTGCCAAATTTAAAAAAACTCCTTCAAGACCTTATTGAGATATTGTGTTCATAGGAATGAGACACACAAAGGTCACAGCGACCTTGACCTTTGATCGCCAAATTCTAATCAGTTAATCCTCGAGTCCAAGCAGACCTTTTTGCCAAAGTTGAAGAAATTCCTTCAAGGTGTTCTTAAGATATTGTGTTCGCAAGCTCAAGACAAAAGAGGTCTCAGCAACCTTAACCATTGACCTTTGACAACTAAAATCAAATCAGTTCATCATCAACACCACCCAGTTTTGGGAGAACAATCCCACCTGAAAAAGCAGCGATGTTTTGGTAAAACCAACCACTTCTCGTACCATTATCCCTGCTGGAAACACTGTGCTTTCTCAGTAAAAGATAACCACTTCAAATCACATTATCCTCAATGGAAAAACATTGATGGGTCACAACAAATTACCCATGTTTTGTGGCTAAAAGATGCTGGAGAAACAGCGATGACTCGTTAGATCACAATCATTTTTTTTTTTTTTTTTTGCTGGACTCACTTCTGCAGCTAGGCAGGCGTCTCACTAAGGTGACACACCATCCAACCTCCTCTTAAAGTACCAATGCCAGTCTCTGCTCACTTTGTAAACACTGATATGATACATATGAAACATGCAAATGTAACATATTTGTGGTTTGCATACAATGCCAACATTTTCTCCTGGTGACTGGGATCCTACATGCTATGCTCAGTAATGAGACATATTACTACTTCCAAACTTCCAAAAATGCTTGTGTTGTCTTCATTCATTTATTCAGTGTATTTTATGTGACAAATTCTGAAGCAACACAACAATGAATGAACAGAAAACATAAATGAATCTCACCTCCAGAGTAAACAGTTCCCTTTTGGAGGTCACCTGTGTACGTCCCAATCCGAAGCTTTCCTGTGTCCTGTGTCCCAGAAATGCAACATGTTAATGAAACCTACTGCCGTTCCAACATTAACATGTAAATCTCCAGTAAGAGACACTCTGTCATACCGTGTCCACTTGTCTTAGCACCGTCCCCTCGGCAAAGAACAGCGGCTTTTTGGTGTCCACCACGATGAGGTCAAAATAGGAGCGCCAGGACCTTTTTTGACTTCCAGGCTAGAAATAAAGGGTAGTGTTTTATTCACATGATTCAATGACATGGACATGTTCTGAATATTCAAAGCAAAGTTAACATTTCTTACCGTGGGATTATTTTCAAGCAGGTATTTCATAATGACCTTGATGAGAAAGAAGAATCATTCTGAATGTCTCCACTTCATTTTTATATAATTTATGGACTGTTTAGTCAGACATAGTACACAATATGTTTTGAAGCTGACCTCAGTGTAGCTGTAGTCACTGTTGGTGGCGAGGAAGACCTTGGCCCCCAATTTAATCCGGTCCAAGAGTATAGGGAGATTTGGCTGTAAAGAACGCATTCATTTGTTGAATATTTCAACCATTTTTTTTTTTAGTCATTTTGGTGCTCATCAGTTTACTCACATCTTTGATAACGTATTTGTCCAAATTCTTGATAGTCTGTCCCTTCAGGGTTCCCTACACAGCACACCCATTAAGTACAACAGTTTGAGACAAAGAATGATTTCCGATGCCAACAAAAGGACACAATTCCACATCTTTTAAGAGAGATTTGTTATTTCAGCTCACCGTATCGTGAATGAAGTCCATCGCCTTTCGAACATCTTGGAACATGCTTCTGTAGGACATAAACAAGTCGCCGTGCTGGTAACCAGTCGCAGCGCTGGTGGAAGAAATAATTCAGTGGTTAATTTTTAATAGTTCAGGCCTGAAGAGGAAGAGTCAGAAGTATGTATGCGGGAAATAAAAGGAATCCACTCACTTTATGTATCTGGTGCATCTGGTGAAGAAGTCCACAAGGCAGGTGTAGAGATAAGTCTCTGCAGGGTACATGAAACACAGGTCAGTTAGCTAACACTTAAAGCTGCTGATGTCATATATTAGCATCCTAAATAAACTCCAATACATCAAGAACTCTGCTGTCTGTCTGCTCACCCATCCCTACTGTGTCTCTCAGAACCTCCACTGGCTCCCTGTCCCTCAAAGCATCCAAGTCCTTCTTCTCACTCACAAAGCCCTCCAGCTTCCCGCAGCCCCCACTCCTCTGATGCCAACCCCCTGACCAACTGCCAACCCTCCACTGCTCAGGACCAAGCACCAAACCTGGGGCGACAGAGCCTTCTCCATAGCCACCCCCTCCCTCTGGAGCTCTCTCCCCAAACACATTTGAGACTTCATTCCTCTCCCGATTCAAATCGCGCCTCAAACTCATCTTTTCAAAATGATATACTATTCTACGATCATTTTTAACTAATGTAAAGTGTCTTTGAGTACCATGAAAAGCGCTCTACAAATGAACAAGAGTTTAGGAGTAGCAAACATTACAGAATCACGCAGAAAATACCAATGTAACTTTTAAATTCACCATTTCTACATGCACATTTTATACCTGACAGATTGAAGAGAGTGTTGAGAATGTAGAAACGGTCGGTGTCATCTCTTTGGATGAACTTGTTGGGGTAGTACTTGTTAATATCTTTCCTGTGGAACACAAACACAGCACGGGTCAATATTCCAAATGCACAAACACAAGCTAACAGACTGAAACAACTGATGTAGGTGCACTCATGTTTGACTGCTGCTAACCAGAAAACCAGTAAGACCACACTGAGTCAGCTCACCTCAGCTGACCGTCATGCTGCAGGCGTTACTAGATGTTTGTGTTTCCATTGTAAACCAATAACTACGAGTACAAACAACCACCATAGGCAGGTTTTAATTAAACTGTAGCTGTTTACTTTTCTGTCACAGCAAAAACACTGTGGAAACTGAGCAGCATGTTTTCAGTGGATTTCAATTTAACCTGTGTGTTAAAAGTCGTGGATTAAAACTAAGCTTTCTTTTTTAATTTTAATGTTGTATTCCATTCATTATATTTAACTTTAGAAGATAAGATTAAAACAGAATACTTAACAGAATAAAACAGAATAGCTTTTATCTTTAAATATTTAACCAGTAGTGAGAAAAGTATGGTGAATATAGTTCACATTTGGCCTCTTACCTGTAGTGCTATTTATCAATCTAGATTGTTTTGGTGTATGTTGGTGTAGTATGTGGCAACATTTCTGTGCTAACTTTTGACTCTACCCTTTGAGGAAGTGGAAGCCATGACTGCAGACTAAAATGTTTCCGTTTGAATCCACCTTCAGGAGGTTCCCGTATGTGGTGTCGATCACTAAACCGCTGAGGGTGGGGGGGAAAGACAAGGAGATGTAAATGAGGTCACCAAGACATGACATGATGTAACAGTTGAAGCAGAAAGGAAGCAACAGTCTATTTCAGGACTGCAGTGAGCAGAATATCAATTAATCCATTTTTAAACTAAAGGTCTAGTGTGTAGGATTTAAGAGCAGATGTTGTGTTTTTGTTCCATTTATACAGTGGTGGAAAAAAGTTTTCGGACACCCTTAAAATTTTACACAATCTCAAATATTATCATGAAATATTTGTGGAAAAATCTTTTTTGTGTTTCAAAAGGTGTGGCTGCATTAGACAGATACAAACAAATACAAATTATATTTTTTTGTTTATTGTTTACAAGAAAAACTAACAAAACTAAATTCTTGACAGTTTCAATATGTCAGTTCTCAACATTGTCGGTATCAAAGTCAACAAATAACAGAGAATGTGTTCAAAACAGAACAAAAAATAAATAAACCATCACATCATCAAATTAATATTTACTAGTCCTGCCATTGGCACGTAGTAGAGCTCTAATCCTGGCTGGCATGTTCCCCACGAGCCTTTCACACTGTTGAGGGGTAATCTTGTCCCATTCTTCTTGAATTACTGCTTTTAATTCTTCTAAATTCTTTGGTTTATGCTTTGAAACAGACCTTTTGATAATCCACCACAGATTTTCAATGGGGCTCATGTCCGGGGATTGAGCTGGCCACTCTAAGACCTGGATACTGTGCTCCTGCAGCCAAGTTCTACTGGCCTTGGATGTGTGGCAAGGGGCATTATCTTGTTGAAACATCCAGTTTTTACCTCGACGGAACAGTGCACGCGCAGAAGGGAGCATGTGGGTTTCAAGAATGGTTCAATACTTGGTTCAATGTGCCATCACAGACAGTGAAATGACCAACACCAGCAGCACTCATGCATCCCCAAACCATGATACTGCCTCCACCATGCTTGACAGTAGGTACTGTACATGCTGAAGATAATGCTTCGCCTGGCCTTCTGCGTACCCTCACATTAGTAGGAGGAAGATAAAGCTGGAAACTGGACTCATCTGACCACAAAATCTTCTTCCAATTCCTGGCTGTCCAGTTCTTGTGTGCCTGGGCCCAACGACGCCGGGCTAACCTCTGTCTCTCATTGATCAGGGGCTTCTTGATAGCCTTGTAGGACCTTAAGCCATGATCTAAAAGTCGGCCATGTACAGTGCGGGTGGAACACTGGACACCAGTTTGGTTTGACCACTGCTGCTGAAGCTCCTGTGATGTCATTCGACGGTTTTGCCTGCACATGCGGATCAGGATGTGGTCATTTCTTGCTGAAGAAACCCTTGGACGCCCAGATCTTGGTTTGTCTTCCAAACTGTTGGTTCGTCTGTATTTCTGCAGAGTGTATCCAACTGCTGAAAGACTGCATCTGCACTTCCTGGCTATCTGGTGGCAGCTGTACCCTTCCTGGCTGAGAATCTTTATCTTCGGGCGTGTTTCCTTTGTTAGGTTCCTTGTTTTAGCCATTTTTGTGTCTGAAGAACTTTCAAATGTGCTGGCTTTATGTAGACACAAAGCTTGGCAACAAAAATTGTGTCTTTTAATAAAAAGAACGACCTTCATCACTGGTACCAAAATGACCCAATACTCAAAATTTCTTATGTATTTTTATGGAACCAATCAATTTTAAGTTTTTAATGGCTTTTTTAGGATTTATTTAGTATTTTGGCTGTGATTGTACTAAAAGAAATTGCACTTGAAGACCTAAGAGTGATTCTTAATGCAATATTTCACAAATGCATGGGGTGTCCGAAAACTTTTTTCCACCACTGTATCTACATACAGAGTGGGTCCTCTTCCAGGAAGTCTGCCATGTTGTTTCTACAGGAGCCCAGAATGGACAAATCAAACACTGTCTCTAGATAGGGTCTTTTGCTTTTTTTGCGTCGGCCACCGGAGTTCTTCTACTGAAATTTTTAGACCTGCAACCTTTACCTCTAAATGCACACTGGAATTTTAATTGATGAATCATTTGATCTATTGCATGTCAAAAATAGTGAAAATTCACAACTCCCTAAAGGTGATGCCATATTTGACATTTTTGCTTGAAAAATTACTTAAATCATTTCTTTTTCTGATACTTAAATACAGTTGACAATAACTTTATGGTGAAAGTAAATAGTTTATCAGAATTTTTTTTATATATAATTATTTTGTGTTGCTCAACTAATCGATTGGCCAAATATTCAGCTCTTGTATATTTTCTTATATTATACAAACTTCTACCTTTATAATCAAAACATTCAAAATTCTACATCAACTTTCCTTCTTTTTCTTTTAATTTAATTGTTTGTCAGTAAATTTGTCTTTGGATCCCAATTGAAACCAATGCATTCTCACTCTGACCTCGTCACATATCTACATTTATTCTTGAATTTTCAACGTCCACATAGGAAGTGAAAGGTACCCTGGGTGCATTGGATGTTGATGTTCTGGGACGCCGTGTCAAGTTCGGCCTGTTACATGCATTGTTTTCTTTCAAAATACACTTCCTTCTTCACAGGAAACTTACGCAACAACACCGCGAATTGACGTTTTTTTTTTTTGTTTGTTTGATTTTGCCTTTAACTACTAGCTCATGCGGTTAGGTTTAGGAAAAAAGAACAGGGTTTGACTTTACAATCTTGCAGTACACAAACACCACTCTCCCAGGTGAAAGTCAGTGTTTGTTGACCCAACCACCACCCGCCCTACTCGGACTTTTGTTGCTGTAACTTTTGTTCGTGTCCCGTCACGTGTCCCCCTGACACCGGCAAGTGTCTTTAAACTATAAGGGTGAATGGCTGTGTATAATGCCAGTGTTAAAGGACGGCTTTTTCATCAGTGTCTGACGCCGCAAGTCACTGCCCAAGTGCCAGATTTTAATGACTTCGGAGTGAGGCCAGGTTGTGAAAACTAAATTTAAAAGTTGTAAAATCTGTATTTTGTTGATTACATTATCCATACAAAATAATAATGCTGCATTCAGGTGCTCCTTGGATGGTCCCATTGCCTGAGTTGGAAGTTGTTATTCCAACTTTGGTGTATTCATGAGCTTTAAGTCTTAACATGGAAACAACATGGACACTACAAAGATGCGTTGTGCTTTATTGCTCAGAGCATTCAAACAACACACTGCTAACAGATTGAAGATTTATATATATTATATTTTGTCCCAGACTTGTTGCTGCATCAGTACTTCTCCTGAAACTACTAAAATTGACCTGACAAGTGCTTATAATTAACTTTTCGACTAATCTAGGTCACTCTTTGTTAACAGCAACTAAAGGTTACAACCTAATACGATATTACAATTAACAAATCAAACCTGCCCACTTACTTTCATCCACCATGTTTCTGCATATGACGTCAACTCGGCAACTTGTGTACCAGTTGTTTCCGAGTTGTTGTTCCAACCTGAGGGGGTATTCATGAAAATTTTCCCAGATGGGGACTCATTTTCCTGATTATCATGACACCACACGAATGCAGGGTAACTTATATCTTTCCCAAATCGAGAGACAAAAAATAAAATTGCTTTTCTTCTTTCTTTTGCAGGTTCACCTTCTGTTTCCATAGCACAGAAGATAAATTCATAACTTCATTGTTATATGACTTCTAAGTTACAGAAGTAGTCTTTAAACTAACCGTGTGGGGAAGCTGGGGTCGTATGTGTAGCGTAGAATTTCATGAGGGTATCCAATGGACACCATTCTGTCTCTTATTAGCTCAAAGCCCAGACTCTCGTAGTCAGGAGACTTATACACTGCAAACAAACACAAACAACAACACCGGTAAATCTTGTGTGGCTTGTTCAAGAGAAAAACCTGAAGCTACAATAAGGAATTCAGTAAACTTCAGATTTTGTAGTAAAACAACAATTCACACACTCAAAGGTGTTTCTGTTACATACTTGCCATCGTGTAGTCCATGTCAAATCCATAGCATTTGATGTTTTCAAGCGTCAGACTTCTGTTTACGAACACCCTGTGACCAAACACAACAACACAGCTGAGGTCTGCAAACATGTGACTGAAAAAACCAACAAACTTTGAGCAGAAGATCTAAGAGGCGTTCATTGCATAATCCACATCTGTGGTGGATTTGACTTGTGGTTTCGTCAGGGTCAGTGCAGTATGTTGCAGTATTAGTTTGCATCAGTTCTACTCAGAGGTTGCGTTAAGGTGGGCCTGGGGGGAGGACGTTATCTGTTGTTGTTGTTTTCAAGTCTAAATTTGTTGCTTTTCATTGACATTATTAGGTTTCTTCATGGTTGCTTTAACAGCTCTTTTTCATCACTAGAACTTTTTAGAAATTCAGAAACTGCACCTTCATTTTGACCTTGGTTACTTTGTTGTAGCTCCCTGGCTGTATTTCCTACTCCTACAGTGCAGCGGGGGTGGAGCTGGGTGCAGGGTAGAGATGTTATCATTACCCTCAACAATCTCCACTGCTTTTTAAATCGCTGCAAATTACAAAGAAAATATTGTGTATTTTAAGACTCTTGTGTTCACTGGTGTAACTGGTTTCCTGAGTCACTTGAACCCAGATGCTCCTCTTTATCAGTGACACCCTGACACAGAGGGAGAAGCCTATCTGCAGCACCTCCACACTGGATGACCCAGTCTAAGCCCTCCCTGACCGCTCATACATATAGAGTTGCTGTAAATAATTTACCTGCAAGCTTTTGTTTTGTAAGTGTGTTGCTTTTGAGGATCATTCCAGCACATAAAAGCAAACTGGGAGCGAGTGCTTCTGATGCAGGAGCGCTTAGTGTAGAGGGTGTCTGCAGATTAAAATATTAAGTCATCCATACTTTTCTGATTGGGTCAGAGATGTTATGTATTACTTAAAGTTAGAAAAATATACAGTTAAAGGCTCCTCTCAGACCTTTATTAAGATATGGAGTCCCTTTTTGGACCTTTAGGGTTTTTTGTTTGGTGCAGAGGACATGTCCCCTTCAATATTTTGAACTTGTGCATTTGTCCCCCCACAATAAAAACATGAGAATTTTTATTTTGAGAAACTGCTAGAACCTGACTCTTATGTGCAACAATACATCTGGTAAAGTAGGTGGTGGCTGTTTGCAACTAAAGCCGAAACAATCAGCTGATTAATTGATAAGTCCATTGACAGGAAATTAATGCCAACTGCTTTGTTCATAATAATAATGATCACTTTAGTAATTATTTACGGCAAAAAAGGCAAACATTTGATGGTTACATCAATTTATAAATGTGGAAATTTGGTGCTTTTTTCTATACATGATAATCAACTGAATGGTGTTGGATTTTGAAGATACCATCTAAGGTCATTATGTTTGGCTCTGGGTGCATTTTTCACTGTCCTCTGACATGTTATTGACAAAACTGTTAATCAAGAAAATAATTGGCAGTTTAATCGAAAATGAAAATAGTTGCAGCCATATATACAAACTCAAAAGCAATGTTTGCAATTAGCCATAAAACAGAGAGAAGAATCATCTATATATGGTTGATGTAGGAAGTGCCATGACATTGCCTCCATAAATTGTTGCATACAATTAACCAGTATGCAGGAAATTAAGTGCCTGACCCTCAAAGTTTCCCCTTTTGATATGTGTCCCCCAAAACAAATTGAAATTGAAACTGAAATTGAAATTGAAACAAATTCCCCACGCCCCTGCAACTTTCCACTAAGTATAACGGATATTGAAAGCATTGGTGCTCAGAGTCTATTTGTGTGGCATCTGATATTATCAAATCATTATCAAATGGACTCACATTTGATCAAAGCTCCTCTTCACCCTGGGCTCCTCAGAGGAGATGAGATTTCTGTCCATTGTGTCCTGCAGACGAAGTATTTGCACGCACTGAGTGCAGCCCGTCACTGGAGAGGCATTTAAATGATCACATTCACCCTGGTGTTGTTGGCGTCGACAAATGTGTTTTGCTCTGTTCCGTATCTCTGTTCACTCCTCCTTGGAACTATTTTGCTTGTTGGTGATGTAAGCGGCTGCATGTCGCGCGCGTCCAGCCCTTCGCCTTTAACTTTGTTCACGCAATCCTCCTGCGAGGCAGTATGCTTTGAGCACGTAGATTGTGTTATCAGGGGCGCACACATGTACCGAGGCTGTAAGCCTGCGTAATACTTAGGAGTTTCCCCGATGAATGTCAGTCCTGCTGTGACCCGGACCTGACAACTGAGCTACATGTACATCAAAACATCTCAGATATCTGAATCTGTCCTTTGCCATAGTGTGAGCCAAGTCTGCACTGCACTGTACAAGCACCGAAGTGTTGTCAGCAAAATGTGCTTAAAGTTTTAGAAGTAAAAGTACAAACGCAACGTCTCATTAAAAACATATACAGTATAGATACACAATGTCGAGCAGAACTAAACCTTAAAGATCAGTGTGCACAGTGGAGGCATGCAGGACCCCTATGAAGAGATTCAGGGAAGGCCTACTGTATGTTTTATTGTTCATTATATGAGGATTTAAAGACTTGCTGAAGCCTTTGCCGCTGCACACTGCATCTGCTGAGCTGTATTGTTTAGCCAAAAGATAAACCAGCGCTGTAATCAGTTTTCTAGCATTGGGGGGAACACCTTCTGCGACCCAGCCCTCCAGGGGGTCTGGAGGAAATTGCCTCCAGAAGAAAGTTTTGAAACTCAACAGCTGAAGTGACTGCATTACATTTTGAAACAAAAATCTTAAAACAGGAGTTCTCAAAGTTTTGATGACCGAGTGCCACTTTAGGGAGCCAGCTATGACTGAGGGATGCGAAGCAAAAAGGAAACACACTGACTTTTTCATGACTTCGTCTGACTTTATTTTTAACTTTTTATGACGTTTTTCCCCCAGAATTAAATGAATTTAACTATATGACTTTTTAGAGACTTCTTTTGACATACCATAAGGTGACTTGTTTTTCAGGTGTTTTGTGACATACTATAGAATGAATTTATTTCTAACTTTATATGACATACTGTACTATAGTATGACTCTTTTATTGATTTTGGACGACATATGACTTTTTTCATAATTTTGGATGACACTATGATACTATACTATACTGTGAATTTTTTAAGATTTTGGGCGACATACTATCCTACGACTTTTTTCGATAATTCTGAACGACGTACTATACTATGACATTTTTTTATGATTTTGTACGACATACTACACTGACTTTTTTTCAAGATTTTGGACGACATACTATACTATGACTTTTTTTTCGTGATTTTTAACGACATACTATACTATGACTTTTGTTTCATGATTTTTAACGACATACTATACTATGACTTTTTTCATGATTTTGCACGACATACTATACTATGACTTTTTTTTCATGATTTTTAACGACATACTATACTATGACTTTTTTTCAAGGTTTTGGACGACATACTATACTATGACTTTTATTCATGATTTTGGACGACATACTATACTATGACTTTTTTTCAAGGTTTTGGACGACATACTATACTATAACTTTTTTTCAAGGTTTTGCACGACATACTATACTATGACTTTTTTTCATGATTTTGCACGACATACTATACTATGACGTTTTTTCATGATTTTGCACAACATACTATACTATGACTTTTTTTCATGATTTTGCACGACATACTATACTATGACTTTTTTCATGGTTTCGAACGACATACTTTACTCTGACTTTTTTTCATAAATTGGAAGGACCTACTATACTATGACTTTTTTTTTTCATGATGTAGGACAACATTCAATACTATGACTTTTTTTTTCATGATGTAAGACCACATTATACTATGACTTTTTTTCAAGGTCTTGGACGACATATTATACTTTGACTTTTTTTCATGATTTTGGACGACATATTATACTATGACTTTTTTCATGATTTTTGACAACATACTATACTATAACTTTTTTCATGATTTTTGACAACATACTATGCTATGACTTTTTTTCATGATTTTGGACGACATACTATACTATGACTTTTTTTCATGATTTTGGACAACATTCAATACTATGACTTTTTTTTCATGATGTAGGACCACATTATACTATGACTTTTTTTCATGATTATGGACGACATATTATACTATGACTTTTTTTTAAAGGTTTTGGACAACATACTATACTATGACTTTTCTTCATGATTTTGGACGACATACTATACTATGACATTTTTTCATGGTTTTCATGATTATGGACGACATATTATACTATGACTTTTTTTTCATGGTTTTTGACGACATACTATACTATGACTTTTTGTCAAGGTTTTGGAAGACCTACTATACTATGACTTTTTTTCATGATTTTGGACGACATACTATACTATGACTTTTTCAAGGTTTTGGACGACACACTATACTTTGACTTTTTTTTCATAATTTTGGACGACATACTATACTATAACATTTTTTCATGATTTTGGACGACATACTATACTATGACTTTTTTTCATGATTTTGCACGACATACTATACTATGACGTTTTTTCAAGGTTTTGGACGACAAACTATACTATGACTTTTTTTCATGATTATGGATGGCATATTATGCTATGACTTTTTTTCATGATTTTCGATGACATACTATACTATGACTTTTTTTCATGGTTTTGGACGACATACTATACTATGACATTTTTTCATGGTTTTGGATGACATAGTATTTTGTGACTCTTTTTCATGGTTTTGGACGACATACTATACTATGCCTTTTTTTCAAGGTTTTTGACGACATACTATACTATGACATTTTTTTATGATATGGGACGACATACTATACAATGACTTTTTTTCATGGTTTTGGACAATATACTATACTATGACATTTTTCCATGATTATGGACGACATATTATACTATGACTTTTTTTTCATGGTTTTTGACGACATACTATATTATGACTTTTTTTTACATAATTTGGGACAACATGCTATACTATCACTTTTTTTTCATGGTTTTGGACGACATACTGTACTATGACTTTTTTTCATGATTTTCGACGACATACTATACTTTGACTTTTTTTCAAGGTTTTGGACGACATACGACGACATATGACGTTCTTCATGATTTTGGACGATATACTGAAGTAAGACTTTTTCATGATTTTTGACGACATACTATTTTATGACTTTTTTTTACATGATTTTGGACAACATGCTATACTATGACTTTTTTTTCATGGTTTTGGACGACATACTATACTATGACTTTTTTTCATGGTTTTCAACAACATACTATACTATGAGTTTTATTCAAGGTTTTTGACGACATACTATATTATGACTTTTTTCATGATTTGGGATGACATACTATACTATGACTTTTTTTCATGGTTTTTGACGACATACTATACCATGAGTTTTATTCAAGGTTTTGGACGACATACTATATTATGAATTTTTTTCATGATTTGGGACGACATACTATACTATGACTTTTTTTCATGGTTTTTGACACCAACCTATACTATGACTTTTTTTTATAATTTTGGATGACATACTATACTATGAGTTTTATTCAAGGTTTTGGACGACATACTATATTATGAATTTTTTTCATGATTTTGGACGACATATTATACTATGACTTTTTTTCATGGTTTTTGACAACAACCTATACTATGACTTTTTTTTTATAATTTTGGATGACATACTATACTATGACTTGTTTTCATGGTTTGGAACGACATACTATACTATGACTTGTTTTCATGGTTTTGGACGACATACTATACTATGACATTTTTTCATGATTTGGGACGACATACTATACTATGACTTGTTTTCATGGTTTGGAACGACATACTATACTCTGACTTTTTTTCATGGTTTTGGATGACACTGACATTTTGTCATGATTTTGGAGGACATACTTTACAATGTTTTTTTTTTTTTCATGGTTGTGGACGCCATACTATACTATGACTTTTTTCCATGATTTTGGACCATGGTTTTGGACGACATACTATACTTTGACTGTTTTTTTTGATAATTTTGGACGACATACTATACTATAATATTTTTTCATGGTTATGGACATCATACTATACAATGACTTTTTTTATGATTTTGGACGACATACTATACTATGATATTTTTTCATGATTTTGGATCATATACTATGCTTTGGCTTTTTGTCATGATTTTGGACGACATACTATACTGTGACTTTTTTTCATGATTATGGACAGCATATTATACTATGACTTTTTTTTAATGATTTTGGACGACATACCATACTTTTTTTTTTTTTTTTTAATGATTTTGGATGACATACTATACTATGATATTTTTTCATGATTTTGGACCGTATACTATACTATGACTTTTTCTTCATGGTTTTGGACGACATACTATACCATGATATTTTTTCATGATTTTGGACGACATACTATACTATGATATTTTTTCATGAGTTTGGATAACAGACTTTACTATGGCTTTTATTCATGGTTTTGGACAACATACTATACTATGACTTTTTAATGATTTCGGACGACATACTATACTATGACATTTTTTTCATGATTTTGGACGACATACTATATACTATGACTTTTTTCATGATTTTGGAAGACACTTTACTTTGACAGTTTTTTCATGATTATGGACATCATACTATACTATGACTTTTTTTAATGATTTTGGACGACATACTATACTATTATCATTTTTTTTATGGTTTTGGATGACATACTATACTATGATGTTTTTTCATGATTATGGACGACATACTATACTTTGACTCTTTCTCAAGGTTTTGGACGACATGCTTAGTTATGACTCTTTTTCATGATTTTGGACAACATGCTATACTGTGATGTTTTTTCATGATTTTGGACGACATACTATACTTTGACTTTTTTTCATGATTTTGGAAGACATACTTTACTTTGACAGTTTTTTCATGATTATGGACATCATACTATACTATTATTTTTTTATGATTTTGGACGACATACTATACTATGACTTTTTTCATGATTTTGGACGACAAA